CAAAAAATTCATCATTGAGAGATACATTTGACTTTTAAAGACATCAAAAGGAAGACTGAGTTTAATCAGAGAATGCTGCTTACAGATGAATAGCACAAGTTCAACAACAAATAGGAGTTTGTCCACAGGGGGGCGCCAAAATTAACGTAAACCAAACATTCCTCACGGGAGCTTTAAGCGACTGTTTTGCGTTAAAGCAACAATGTGTCATTTTTCCAACTTGAAATAGAAGTTTCAGAGTCGGTCTAATAGAAAAATAACTTTCAACAGGGAGAATGGTGTCAGTCCCATGTCCACAGGGCGACCCCATTTCCTGTTTACATCACTGTGTCACTTTGGCATAAAAGTGTGCATTGGGCTTTACGACACTAGTTCACACACCAGCATTAACTTAGAAAAACTGCCAGTTAGCCCGTCGCTGTTCTGTTTGAAACAATGGCCGAGGCTAACAAATTGAAAAGGGTGACGGCGGATGAAGCTGAGAGGAGAAAAAAAATAGAGTACCTCTGAGCAAGAAGCTAGCCTAGAGTAAATATTGGACATGATTTTACACGTTGCAGGATACAGTAAGCTGCAAGTCCGGTGCCAAGCTGGCTATGTCACTTCACTATGAGTGTTTTACGACAGGGCAGTTGCACTCAGAGACCGTCGGTGGGCGTCAAAACTCACCGATCGAAATTCCTCTGTAACGTTTGCTCAAAGAGGCGTGATCTAAAGTGACATTTTTCCTGTCCCGTTCACTAACTTTTGAACATATAACGATAGATTCTGAGGATATCTGTTGGTTTTCAACAATGGCAAACAGCTTTTTCAACATTTGCGTTTGTGCTGTCATTTCTTTTTTTCCACGACAGACAAAGTGATCCTGATCAAGAAAGTAATGACGTGGGAGGAAGCTGTCAATTACTGCAGAGAGAACCATCGTGACTTGGTCTCCATCACCGACCTTCACCAGCAGAGATGGGTTGAAGCCAGAGTCAAAGATGCCTCAACCGACCATGTTTGGCTGGGATTGCGCTACACCTGTCTTATGGATCTGTGGTTCTGGCTCAATGACAATCTGGTCACCTACGAGAATTGGGCTCACTCAGACGGAGAGTGTGACAGATGTTACTATGCTGCAGCCATGAACAAAAGTGGAAATTGGGTCAAAAAGGCTGATACTGAGACGTTTAATTTTATCTGTGCTTTAAAGTAAACACCCAACCTAATCCCTTTACATTTCTGCTGGATTTTTCTTAAGCAACTATAACGCTCTCTGTTGTTGCAGTTAAAAGAGTGGTTATATAACAAATAACAAGGATTTATGAAATGAATATGGCTTATTACTTATTATTAGCCACACTACAGCTATACAACTTTTCAATCTATCCGCTCATTCAGAATCAAGAAAGCTTCTTGTTAAAGTAGTTAAGGTTTCTTGTGTGAAAGTGTGACTCTTTCAGCATGCCTATACTGTTTGCTTCTCACAATGACAAAATATTTGACTTTTTTTTTGTTAAAATTTGGTGGTGGTTACATCATCTAAAGCAAGTGATTCTCAACTGGTGGGTCTGGACCCAAAAGTGGGTCATTGAGATGTTTTCAGTGGGACATGAATGTGCGCCTGGGAAAAAAAAAATGAAGAAAAGTGGTGTCAAAAAGTTTATCAAGCCCTTTTTTAAACATGTTTGTTTCGTTCTGTCCCATGTTTTTACAACCTGAGGCTCAAACGGCATAATTTTCTATTAAGTAAATCTCAGTGGTTAAAAAAATGTTGTAAATTTGGGTGAACATTTTTCATGAAGGAGTTGATAGTGTGTACTGAGGCTAGACCAGTAGAGAACCACTGATGTACAGCATTTTTTTTTTGTCTTGATTACATTTTTCAGTTTTATGTAGGCTAAATAGATGATTTACTCATAATGTAAGCTTTACAGGTTTGTTTGTTGTTTGTTTTTAAAATGAAAAATTGCAACTGTCTGTAAATAAAATTAAACGAATAAGCTGATTAAAGTGTAAACGTATGTATTTGTCTAACCATGATAGTTAAAGATGACCTATTCAACAAGAAACACACTGAAAACAACGCCATGCAAGGCTCGAGCTCTAACTCCTGAGTCGTCGCGCCCTCTGGTGGCCATTCAAGGAATCTCACAGGAGACCAACTTGTTTAAAGGGGGATTATAAGGACACCATAAAGAGTTTGTAATAAAGAAAGGCGAAAGGGGCCTGAAGAAACACTTAACTTTTACAACTTATTTTCACAACAAGTTATTAACCGTCAAATAAAATGACAACCTCATAAGAGGGATAGTTTGTCCCAGTGTTCATCTGGGTGGTTCTAGTCTTAGAAATAAAAGATTTTTTGCCGTGACCGAGCTTGTCAAAGAGATTGTTTATATTGTCACTGAAACATTTAAACAAAAAAAAACAAACAGGTGACGAAGAAGGAAGGAAGGAAGTTAGGAAGGAAGGAAAGATTGTGACGTCTCACTTGTAGTCCAGCTCGAGCGCTGTCACCCCGCCGCTGCTTGTAGGCTCCTATCATAATCACTCCCAGTTTATTTAAAACAAAAGTCAAGTGTTTACGAAATGGAGGGTCTCTACGAATTCCTCGTCTTCTTCGAGTGTGCAAGCGTGGACGGAGAGCAGAAGAAGAAGATCGAAAGTTACTTTAAAATTCGCCGCAGATCCGGAGGAGGGGACTGGACAAGGAAAGGAGTTGGACCAAAGTGTTTACTGTAATGGATGTACCAGCTAACAGATAGCCACATTTAGCTTGCCCATCATGTTTGTTGGTGAATGAATCGGTTAGTGTGTGGTGTGCTGAGTTGGTCATCTTGTTACTCTCAACACGCTATAACAACAGAACTGTTTAAATCTGTCATGATTTGTCATCATGTGTGGGCGCTCTCCCATTTTCAAAATCACTTCAGGTTTTTTTTTTTTTTTTTGCGTGTGCCAGGCTTAAGATAACCTGTCCCAGCTGCACCACCCCACAGGTCTGAGCTGGGGACATCCATGCAGGTGCTGTCCTTCTTTGTGCAGAAATGCAAGACCGCCCTCTGCAGCTAGAACTGAAGCGATGCATTTCCTGAACACCATATTCTGCCCACAGCAAAAGTTTGATAACGCAGAGTATGGGGTCACTGGCATGCCATCACTGCATTGCACAAAAAAAAGCATCCACAAAACAGTTCCTGGAAAAATATGGAGGACGAGATCTGACAGAAGTATAAATAAATAAATGTATAAATAAATACTGGAATAAATAAATAAAAGAATCAATAAATAAATGCGTGAATAGATAAATAAAAACTGGTAAATAAATGGGACCTAAATAATTAAATGTCTTAAATTTATTTCTACATTTATTTATTTCCACATTTATTTATTTCTACATTTATTTATTTCCACATTTATTTATTTCTACATGTATTTATTTCCACATTTATTTATTTCTACATTAAATTATTTCTACATTTATTTATTTCCACATTTATTTATTTCCACATTTATTTATTTCTACATTAATTTATTTCTACATTTATTTATTTCCACATTTATTTATTTCTACATTAATTTATTTCTACATTTATTTATTTCTACATTTATTTATTTCCACATTTATTTATTTCTACATTAATTTAATTTAACATTTAATTATTTATGTCCCATTTATTTACCAGTTTTAATTTTTTTATTCACGCATTTAATTATTTATTCAGTCTTTTATTTATTTATTCCAGTATTCATTTATACATTAATTTATTTATTTATACTTCTGTCAGATCTCGTCCTCCATAGCAATAAACCCTACTAGTCTCTTCTGCAAACTGCAAGCATTCAGGACATGCGTTATAAGCCCTCTGAACTCAAGTCCCCATCTTCTTCCACAATTCCTGAACAACTCTTAACCTGGGTTCCAACAATGGTTGTATTTGGGTTTATTTCTTCCTCTCCAAGCCAACATTTTTTGTTGTGAGTCAGAAAATGCATTAAGTGACTGTCAGGTATCGGCTATAAAAAGTCTTTAAAGGCTTTATATGCGATTTTTCACACTTAAATATAATAGAAATAAGTATATCCTCTGAAAATAACTCTGAGAGTCATGACTGTCTACAATGGGTGTAACACCCGAGTCCCACTGTCTGTGATGCTTTCAGAGTTTTCAGAGTCCTAGCTTCAGTTTGTTTACATCGCCCGGACGGCCGGCTGACTCCTCCCCTCGTGTATAAAAGTTGTTTAATTGAGGGACTAGAGAAAAGAAGAATAACATACTGTACTCACTGCTTAACGGCGTTTCTAGATCACGATCATTTCAGGTAAATTTACATGCAGGGTGAAGATACGGGCATAATAAAGATCGCTAGCATTAGCATGCTAACACAACAATGCTAAAAGAAGGTCATTGGTTACCTTGAGGAGGGCCGTCTCTGTGCTGTGACAAGCTCTAAAACCGGATTGGAATTTCTCAAAGAGGTTATTTTCAGTCATAAAAGATAAAAGTTGTGTTGAAACCACCTTTTCTAAAACTTTTGATGAAAATGGAAGTTTTGAGATTGGTCTAAAATTGTTAAAATCAGTGGGATCAAGGTTGGGTTTCTTTAAAAGTGGTTGGACCACAGCACGTTTAAAAGCAGAGGGGACTACACCTTCCGCCAAGGAACTATTAATAATGGATAAAATACTGGGTCCAACTGTGGTAAAAACCTCTTTGAGAAACGTTGTGGGAATAAAATCAAGGCTGCACGTAGCTGATTACATGTGGGTTAAAATTTCAGATGAAAAGGTCAAGGACACCGGCTCAAAACTGCTAAAATAACTGTTAAGTTCCCTGCTGGTGTCTAAAATACGGTCTGGGGAGATGATTTGTTGCCTAATGTCCTTGACTTTATTGGTAAACTAAGTTAAAAACTTCTCACATAGATCCTGAGAAGGATCAATAAAATAAGAAGGGGAGGGGTGGTGATTGATTCTAAAACCTTAAATAAAATTCTGGGATTAGAATGATTGGCTAAAATCAGATTAGAATGAAATGCTGCTCTTGCGTCTTTAACTGCCTTTTGGTATTGTTTCATTGTATCTCTCCATATTTCATAAAATACATGCAAGCCTGTTTTTTTTCCATTTTCGTTCTTTCCTTCTGCAGTCTCTTTTTAGATCCTGAGTCAGTTCGTTTAGCCATGGCTGTGGAGCTCTGTTAGTTTTTATAGGGAGCAACAGAGTCCAGCACAGTTTGACAGGTGAGATTAAAAGAGGAGACCAGCTCCTCTGTGTTAAAATGTTGGTAAAAGGCAGTTGAAGAGACAGAAATAAAAAGCTCCTTAAACTTGCTAGCAGACGTAGAGTTAAAAACCCTGCTGCGGACAGGTGCCTTGCTAATAAAAGGTGGCTGAGATAAAACCATTCTGAATAAAACCAGTTTGTGGTCTGACACACAGATATCCTTTGTCTCAAAGTTGTTCGGGCTGAGACCACTGTATACAACAAGATCAAGTGTGTGGCCCTTAGAGTGAGTGGGTTCCTGTATTGCCTGAGTAAGGTTAAAAGATTTTAGAATATCTATAAAATCACCCGCGAGGGATTGAGAGGGGCAACAGACATGTATGTTAAAATCACCTAAAACAAGGATTTTATCATACTTAGAAATAAAATGTGATAAAAACTCTGAAAAGTCTGCAAAAAAAACATTGTTAGGTCTGGGTGGTCTGTAGATGATTAAAATGAACACAGCATTAACTCATTAAAATGAGTGTGTAAAATTGGAGTGCATTTAAAATCTTTTCTATGACTAACAGCACCCCCCCCCTCCCTCCCCCCTCCGATGAAGGTGAGTGTAATCAGGGGGGGTTGCTTCAATCAGAGGACTGCAATCTCTCATAGTCAACCAGGTCTCAGTGACAATAAAAAAGTCAAGATTATTATGATTTATAAAATCAAGGCAGATAAAAGATTTATTATTAAGCGATCTGATATTTAAAAGACCAAAGTTAGCTGAAGTGCAATTAAAGGTTGGTTGTAGGGAGAGGTTGGAGGCGTACTTGGGTGAGATTGGAGTGGTTACAGTAATTGACAGGTGACAGATGTTGATGAGACAGTCTGCAGGTGACGTGTACAGGGATAGTGAATTCAGTGCTGTGGTCTGTGACAGTAGAGAGTGTATGACAGTCATTGGAGGACAGAGAAGAAGGAGAAAAAGAGTGACACCAGGTG